CTAGACTGTGAACGAATAGTTTAGTCTTATAAGGAACTGATAGGTGATCTTTCTGTTCGAAACACTTCGAACCACACTATCTCAATATAAGACATGGAGTATGATTTGCACAAATAAATAAACTGCAAATATATATACTTTGACTGAAACATGATGGCCAGATCAAAATGGAATCGATAGAATCTGCAAAACATAGCTTTTACAGCATATCTCTAACAATATTTACTTGAAATAGTAACTAAAATCAGTAAAAAAAAACATTTAGTTTCCCGCCTAAAAATACAAATTTACTAAAATGGGTATTTTTTGGCCAAAATTTAAATAACTCCGCCTAAATTAATGTAATTAATGTACATAATCATTTTAGTCAATTTAAAAAATTCTGCCTAAATTCCGAATAAATTAATGAAACTAAATGACTTATAATTTTACTAAAAGATATCCTTGGTGGAATAAATTGTGCTCATCATGATGATTATTCAACAATTGAAAAAGCACAAAGTAGTTTGTACAATAGTAAGTCTAGACATAGACGTCAGAGACATAATTTCTAAGAAAATTATCTCGTGTGGGAGTTATATCGGTTGACTATGTGAAGTCAAAGATAAACCTAACAGATCCATGTACAAAAAGCAAGAAACGAGATAAGTTGTACAAATTGGTTAGGGGAATGAGCTTAATAAAAATCCACAACAAACGAACGGTCTTAGCGGTAACCCGAACATGAGAATCGGAGATCCCGAAACCTTGGTTCAATGGGAAAACTAAGTTTTGGCAGTTCAGTGAAATACTTGAAAAATGTTTTGCTCAATTTTAGAACCGTCAAGTGTTAAAATCTGCGTAAGTGGTGGGTTAAATCGAGGACTTTTAATGATTCTTATACCTAAGAGCATCCACAACGCATTGGGTCTAATTTTACATATGTGGCATATAAATAGATTTAAGTCCTAAATGACATTGACAAACTCAAGTAAAAAAACTCAAAAGCTATTCAATGCAAAAATAAAATACTAGGTCTAGCATACATGCCAACCAATAAAAATGCTCTATTATGTTTCATTTATTAAAAGAAAATTTAAATGAGGAATAAATGATGAGTGCTTGGATTTGTACTTGGGTCTACAATAGACCCAAGTGTGGACTTGGTGTCTTTTTTTTGTTGCCACATAAGCTAGACTATGTCCACCTTTAATTGCATTGGGAGGCATTTTTTAATAGACTAAGTCTATTTCCTATGTGGCATAGGATATTTTATTAAGAGACTCAATGCATTGTGGGTGCTCTAAGGGTGGAGTCAGGCAGAATATTCTCTTTGTAAGTGAGAAGTAAATAGGCTGCTTCAATTGAACACTTACTAAACCGAGATATGGTCCAAGTCTGAAATGGACACAACGTGAGAACAATAAATTGTTAGAGTTGTTGTTGTGTGAGTATCATTGTCTTGGTGAACAACCGATAAGTTCAAAGCATTATGCTACTAAGAAGCTAGTGTATCCAATAGTATTTCTCTAAGGAAGATTAAAAGACACAAGTTGTCTATCCTGATGCAATGACGGTTCATCGGGACTCTCAAGTATTGCATACATGCATTAATCATTCATGCGGGGGATTGTAGAAAAAAAAAGTTTTGTGCCAATTTTACGGCTCTATTTTTTTTAAGTGGAAGACTTATAAAATTCTCAAACTATTTTAAGGTGAATAAAAAATTAAATCTAAGTTGTATATGTGGGATATGTAAGGTTGAAGCGTTGAGTTAAGTAACTCAAATTATTAGAATCGTACATTCTGCCTTTGATGAATGTTAGGATAATACAAATGGGACTTGATCATGCAACTTGCATGTTATAACTCTATAAGGGTTCGTTTGG